AAATGCATAATGTCAGCCATTGGCTGGCTCTAAATCTGTTTAATTTGTTCACAACATTTTACTTTTGGGCTCAAACATGAACTTTTAATGCAATGAAAAATTTTGGCACCCGAGCTTTAATTTAGTCGCACTTCGAGAGGAGAGGGGAGACGCGGACTGTTTTCTGCAGCGGTGTATTTCTTGGGTGCAAAAATTACGCAAAGACACGCATGGTCCTGTGCATGTTTATGGTCTTGGGTATATGGTCACGTTGCGGCTACGCGCTCACCGTGTTGTGTTGTGAGCGGTTCCCGCGTCCAGCTCAGAGCCGCTGGATGCGGGAACACTGCGGCCGCTGAGGTGGTGGAATCCGTTCGAGTACATACAGCAGGTGCCCCGCGGACACGCGCGCCCCCTCTTACAGTTCTCAACGGATTTACACTTTTCACAAACATTTCTTTTGTATGAGGCAAACAGACCGGCCCAAATATGGGCATCGGCCCTTCTGGCATTGCCCGGTACGCCCGATGGCCAGTCCAGCCCTGCTAGCACTTTAATACGATTTCTGGAGCTGCCTAGTTTTACTGTTGGTTCTGTAGTCAGGTTGATGCGAAGTGAGGTCGAGCTTCTTACAGGCGTTGAGGCTTTCATCAGTTAAACGCGAACGTAGGTTGTGATACACTGTGTTTTAGAAGAGAGAATGACTGCTCATTTGGGCATGTAGAGCCAAACACTGTTAACACGTCAATACTCACACGCTGCAGTGTGCCGTATGTGATGGGAAGTGCGTTCCAAGTGCGTTTTGCAATCAGCTGGTCTTCCAGATCTCCATTCAGTGATTTGAACTTATTCACCCACATGTCCGAGGCCTTGAGGTCAGCGACTTCTACCTCAAAATCTTTGATAGAGATGCCAAGGATGTAATCTCCGAAATTCTCCAAAGCTTGCCTTGAATGAATGCAATATGTTAGATGTTTACCCAGAGAGCAGTTCGAGATTTACATGTTGAGTTGCGCACGCATCTTAAAATTCAGTATTTCAAAGTGCAGTACGGCCTGATGTATGTTATGGCAAAATTCATATTTGAATACATTGTACCAAATTGACTGATACATTGGAACAAAGGCCTACTGTGCTGGGTCACTTTCACATGGCCTTAGCCTGGGACTGGCAGTACCAAGAATACTCCATTTGGTTCATTAAATCGTATGTTATGGCAGGTGCAGCCCAATAATATTTCTCCCCCCCTTAGTCCTATCGCCTCTTCCTACATAAATCAAAGCCGCCTTACCCCCACGAGTCATGTCTTGTCCTTTGAACTTTCTAAGCAAGTAAGTAAAGTTTTTTGTATAGCGCATTTCACAGACCAGGGTCACAAAGCGCTTCACACATTAAAATACATAAAATACACATACAAGTCAAATTTAAAAACAATAACACAGAAACACACAGTTTATACAGTTCACAGAGGCCTATGAACTGTGAGGCGAGAAAGCCTGTCTAAACAAATGCGTCTTAAGTTGGGACTTAAAGTCATCGATAGTCTCTAACATGCGCAGAGACAGAGGAAGCCCATTCCAAAGGTGAGAAGCAACTGCCTGGAAGGATCTGTCTCCTCTAGTTTTAAAGCGAGTGCGGGGGACCATCAACAGGGGCTGAGTGGAGAACCTGTTGATGGCTCCTGTGGAGGCTCTTGTTGGAGACATAGGGGTGGATCAGGCCCTGGATGTATTCAGGCGCCTGGCCATGAAGAGCCCTGAATGTCAACACTAGAATTTTAAAATCGATTCTATGTGAGAGAGGGAGCCAGTGTAAGGACTTCAGGATAGGAGTAATGTGGGCTCTCCTGTGGGTGCGAGTCAAAAGCCTCGCAGCAGAATTTTGAACGACTTGTAAACGAGCCAGATCTTTTTTACCAAGACATGTAAGCAGGCTGTTACAGTAGTCCAATCGCAAGGAAACAAAAGCGTGGACAATCATCTCCAGCTCCTGACCCGAGACCATATGTCTGAGCTTGGAGATGTTGCGCAAGTGGAAGTTACAGTTACGGATCAGCTGTTTGGTGTGTCGTTCTAGGGACATCCCTTCATCAAAAGTGACTCCAACTACTTAGGTTACCAAGGTGCTGAGTAATGAGAGGCACAATACTGTCCGGGGCTACAACTAAAGATTCTGTTTTACTAGAGTTCAGCTGGAGGCTATTGTCACTAAGCCATATCTTTATTCTGTCTAGGCAGTTAGTGAGAGCAACCAGTCTCTGGGGTTCAGAGGGCTTAAAAGAGCAGTACAGCTGGAGATCGGTTGCATACAGGTGGTAGGAGACCTCACTGAACTGCTGGATCAGCTTGCCTAGGGGGAGCAGGTACATCATAAATAAAATAGGCCCAAGAACGGAGCCTTGGGGTACACCCCACCGTAGGTCTGCGGATTCAGACACCACGTTGTTTGAGGACACACAGAATGTTCTACCTGTCAGGTATGATCTAAACCACTCTAACACAGAGCCTAACATACCAACCACATCCTGTAGTCTAGAGACCAAGATTCCATGGTCCACCGTGTCGAAGGCAGACGACAGGTGTAACAGGACCAGGACAGAACATTTACCGGAGTCGGCAGCCATCATGATGTCACTAGACCCTTTCAGTAAAGCAGTTTCAGTGGAGTGGAACTGAAAGGAGTCAAAAATATTGTTTGCCTCCAAGAACGCTGAAAATTGATTGTAGGCTAGCTTCTCCAGGACTTTGGCCAAGAGCGGAATCTTTGATATGGGCCTAAAGTTCTGAAGATCTGTTGGGTCCAAGCTGGGTTTCTTTAATTGGGGCTCCACAACAGCATGTTTAAGAGAACATGGGGACACACCAGTTGAGAGCGATAGACACTAAAACATTAACAAAAAGCCGAGCCGGGACAACATCCAGTCGACAACACGACACTTTCATGCACTTTATAGTGGATTAAATATCCTCTTGAGTGACTGACTCGAAGAATGACCAGCTCTCAGGAGGTCAATGTGAGCTTGAATGGAGGAAGGGGAGGAAGGAAGATTGTCTTTAATCTCTCTAACCTTGTCAATAAAGAAGTTCAGAAACTCAGTACAACTTGTACAACAAGTTTGGTGGAATGCCACAAGCATTTGATTTTGCGGCAGGATCTCCGCTTATACGACTATATTATTGAATGTGGAATGTGAGCAGGGAAAAGAGGAACAAGTCAAGCCTTGGGATTGCATCGCTCCTGTCTGACTCTGCAGTTGTATTGTATTGTTTATTCTCATCAGCTCTTCAATAAATGGCACAAAGACAAGTTGTTTCTCTTGGATCCATTCATTTAAGTATTTAATTTCCACTACATGTAAGATCCACAATAAAAAGCTTTTACAAACTCCATGAAGGTATTGAATAAATCTTCTCCTCTTCTCAACGCTTTCATTGGCAAAACAGCCAGTCTTTCCTCCCACAGCGTGTCACACCAACATACCTTGCAATAGACTTAGAATATGGTGGTCAATGATATCACAAGCTAAACATTCCTATACTTAAGGTACTTCAATAAATAAATCAAAACTTGATTGATCCTTTGCATGAAACAAATTTGTTGTAAAAAGGCAGAATGCTAGTGATATTACACATATCCAATACAAATATTATTATCAATATTAATTCTGTGCATTTAATAGTTGCAGCAGGATTAAAATCCTTTCTGGAACACTGTAATTTGCATCTCTGAGCTCCAACTGAAAGAGCTACAGAGCATGCAGAGGGTGCGAAGGATAGGGCCAGAACCCATCCGTCACAGGTCTGTAGTCAGACCTGTTGCTCTTAATTAGTTGGTGGGATTACTCTTCTCAGGCCGCGGAACCAGGCATGATGTTTTCTACAGCCTGGGAACACACAGTCTGCCATTACAGTACAGTGAACTTATTGTCAGAATAAGAAACCAGTCTTTGAAGATCTAATCCAGTCTGTGATGATTTGAGCTTTATGACAAGGTGTTTCATCTCGCTGGAAGTAGCCATCAGAAGATGGGTACACTGTGGTCATAAAGGGATGGATATGGTCAGCAACAATACTCAAGTAGGCTGTGTACTACGGGGCTCAAAGAGTGCCAAGAAAATATCCCCCACACCACTACACCCCCAACACCAGCCTGAACTGTTTATACAAGGCAGGATGGATCCATGCTTTCATGTTGTTGACGCCAAGTTCTGACCCTACCATCCGAATGTCGCAGCAGAATATCGAGCCAGGCAACTTTTTTCAATCTTTTATTGTCCAATTCTGTTGAGCCTATGAAAATTGTAGCCTCAGTTACCTGTTTTTAGCTGACAGGAGTGGCACCTGATGTGGTCTTCTGCTGCTGTAGCTCATCTGCCTCAAGGTTTGACATGTTCTGTGTTCAGAGAGGCTCTCGTGCATACCTTGGTTGAAACATGTGGTTATTTGAGTTACTCGAACCAGTCTGGCCATTCACCTCTGACCTCTGGCATCAACAAGGCATTTTCGCCCACCGAACTGCCGTTCACTGGATATTTTCACTTTTTCGGCCGATTCTCTGTAAACCTGTAAAAAGATGGTTGTGTGTGAAGATCTCAGTGGATCAAAAGTTTCTGAAATACACAGACCAGCCCGTCTGGCACCAACAACCATGCCACGTTCAAAGTCACTTAAATCACCTTTCTTCCCCATTCTGATGCTCGGTTTGAAGTAAGCAAGTAAGTAAGCTTTATTTATATACCGCCTTTCACAGACCAGAGTCACAAAGCGGTTTACAATTGTTATTTTTGGGCATTTGTCTCTCACTCCACACAGAGATGGGAGCGGGGTCGCCGAACAGGAGGCGCATGCCAGACCTATTGTACATATAGAACTGCAGCAGATCGTCTTGACCATATCTACATGCCTAAATGCATTTAGTTGCTGCCATGTGATTGGCTGATAAGGAATTTGCATTAAAGTGGAGTTGGATAGGTGTCCGGAGTAAGTAATGTATGCTGGCTGTTGTCTTGTGCATGTGTGCAGGGCCTGTACCCGGGCTCAGAGGAGGGATGGCAGGTCTACAGCACAGCCTCGGACCCCGATGGTAGGTGCGTGTGTACGGTGGTGGCCCCGGCTCAGAACCTGTGCAAGAGGGACCCTCGCAGCCGCCAGCTCCGCCTGCTCACAGAACAGGTGGGCCTGCCAGAAATACAATTTAAAGCCTTCAGATGGAACTCACACTGGACAATGTTTTTATGGTGTTACGTTACTAGTATGTTTCTAGTCATTGATATCTTAAAACCAGTAGAATATATAATCTTGCAACAGCATTGGGTACATCTATCCAAATACTTAGGTTGGTAAGTTCACAGCCTGAGAAAACACTGGAGATACAGACTTTATTTGAACAGATTTTTGGGACAGATCTTAGGACCTGCTGCCTTGCCTGATGTTATTTGGTTATTTAAGGTCGTCAAACCTTGGCAAAAATGCGCAAAAACTCTATTTTCTGGTCCACTGACTTGCAACCAGGTCAACCCCTACTGTTCAGATTGTTCCAAACAGGAATAACAAATCCTCATTTAGAAAAATTAGTCTTTGATGACTAATTGACTATTTTGATGACTAAATTCTATTTATCAGATTACTTCCAGTGGGTTATAATCGCTGTGGCTTTGATATGCAGTCTCAGTGTGCTGTTCATTCAACCCACATGTCACTCAAACAATGAGCTCACATTACGTACGGGACCATGGGGAAACTAATTATGGGAGAGGAAAGGACGCTATCCTCGTACACATGAGTTGTATGTACACTGTTTGGGGTTTCATACTCTCACACAGTAGACTTTACTTCACAAACTTTTTTGGGGCGACAGTAGCTCCGTTGGTTGGGCATTGGCCTATGGGCCTGAAGGTTGTGGGTTAGAACCCACCACGGGACCTACTATAACTGCTCCCGCTAATGTCTACTGTCGTTGTGTCCTGGGGCAAGACACTTAACCCCACATTGCCAGAAGCTCCCGCTGGAACACCAAGGCTGTGGCACCACTGATGTAGGAGCCATTTTCCTGTGGACAAAAGGGGCAGACAATGAACGAATGAACTTTTCACATCACAGAGGCTATTGAGGTCTGACTGTTGCACAGCAGAGTAGTGGAATTGGGCCGTGAGTGAACAAATGTTGAATGTCCAGTATTACTAGGTAGGAATTCTCATTCAGTGTTACACAGAATTTAAAATGTTTAATCTTATTCATTGAATCTAATTAAATATGTATCATTATTCAGAGTTTACTTTGATTTAGGTTGGCATTATACGGTTAAGAATGTGCAATATTTTTTTGAAAAAAAAAAAGAGTTCTTGTTGTGATCAAAATCTCCTTGGAAGGAAGACCAAGACTCGAAGAGTTAAAATCCAAAATGTGTACTACTTTGTTAAATAAAGTGATAATCTCTGATTGTATAGTTTTTTCCCTTCTTGTCACTATCTTCCAATGTCTGCCTTTATCTAAGATCAGGGATTAAAAAGGGCGTTCCTTCCGTCTGTTTCTGCAACAGATGAGGCCTAGTCCTTCTGCCAGTTTTTGGGATTCACCCCCCGGACATCCAAATGATGTCTCCATTTTGTCTTAAGCTAAACAACACTCACTCCAGGCTTTAAAAGAAAGAGTTAGTTTCAATTATGTATTATATAAATCACATTTACTAATCTCATAAAAAAATAAATGATTATATAATATTGATTAGTACAAGAATAAATAAACTAATTAATGATAAATTATTGTATTAATGTTTTTGTTTTCCATGGAGCATAATGCCTGTAAATAATAATTTCAACCAACAATGACAATGTCCTGACTACAACGAACACTCCCATGGAGAGGTAGAAAAACATTCTTGTGAATCCAACATGGCTCAGTCTAATTGAATACCCTAAAGACAACATCCAGGTGTGAGTTTGATGAGGGAGTATGGTTAATGTAATGTCTCCTTTATGTGGTATGTTTGATAAAAGTGTTGTCCAACCTGGTATATGGCATTTACTCCTACCGAATTGCCTCCTCGGTGTTGTGGTCATTCCACAATGTCCCACTGAGAGACATCTGCTCCTGTGCGGAAACGCCAGGATCAGGATGTGTGTGGGTGTGTTTGTATGTATGTGTGAGTGAATGTGTGTGTGTTCTTTGCGCATGGGACAGTTATCATGTGTTGCTGGATTCATGGAGCCTAAATATAGCATTGGTAAAAATAGGCACTTGATGGATGGTCAGAGGTTTATGTCAAAAGACAATACTATAATATACTATAATGACCAAATACACAATTGGTAGATTCAGCCAGTGCTGGTTGGGTGTAATTAGCACGTCCTTCCGTCTAATTGTCAGAAACATTCAAATATACTAAATATATAAGTATGTATGTGTCAGAAGATCACTGTGCAGTAGACAGAAGCATGCTGTGTTTTCCTTAAAGGTTTCTTCTTGTTCAGTACCGGAGCAGGCACACCATCCTGACTCTCGAATTAGCCTCACTCCTCGCACTCACATGTAAACAAACAAGCTTCCTGTCTGTAAGGGAGGGGTTGGCTCCTCACAGCGGGTTAGGCACACACACACACACACACACAGGTACACACTCACATGCAGACACTCACACACACATGCACACAAAAACACAACACACACGTGCACACCCTCATGTACACTTGTTCACCACCACGGAATTTTAAATACAATGTTTTTGTGTAGATCTGATCATCTATGTGCAATACAATTTATTCTTGTATAGCCCTAAATCACAACAGTAGTCATCTCAGAGGACTTAACAAAACCATTGAAATCACCCACACAGATCAGAGAATCAACAGTTAAGAAACAAAGAGAATACAGAACACATGTTGATAAATGTCCATACATGTTGTCGAATGTTAAAGTGTCCTGGTTCATCACCACAGTCCTCCTAGTTGGACACTAACTGCCCAACAGAACCTCCTGCATTGGCAAGGAAAAGCACATAAGAAAAACCCAGCGGGGAAAAAAGTGAGAAAGCACAGGGAGACCCACATATTGAGAGAGGAATCCACTCCTCACGGACGGACAGGCTATAGATCCAGGACCTAAGCTACAGAACGAGGACCATGGCCACGCAGCGGCTGCAGGACGTGGACAGGTCCGGTGCAGGACTGAAGCACTCCCAGGCGGGTCGGGCAGGGCAGTTCACAGGTGTGGATGGGGGAGGCCAGGTTCAAGAGGTCCTGTCATGAAACAGACAATGGGACAACGGGTGAATAGCAATGAACAGACTACGGTAAAAATCCTAATAATGCAGACAAAGTAGGAAGGAGGAGAGGATAGTGCTACCATACTTCTCCCAGCAAACTGACTTCCTATGCAGCTTGACTGACAGTCTAGGATTTTTAGCCTTCCCTGAGTTTTACCTTCCTTACCATATGCTAAACTGAAGAGGACTATTTTAAGCCTAGCCTTGAATGTGGAGACCGTGTCCGAACGAAGGAGAGACAGCAGCAGCCACGGCTAGGCTAGCCCAGGCTACAACACCAAGGATTAGCGGATTACACACCAAGTGTGTAAACCAAACCAGACAAACAACCTAACCATATGCTAAATTGACAAAGAGTGTTTTAAACCTGCCCTTAAATGTGGAGATCATATCTGCTTCCTTAACGGGGATGGGAAGCTGATTCCACAGTGAAGGAGCTTGGTAGCTAAATGTTCTGCCGCCAACAGTGCTTTTTGAAACCTTAGGAAACACCAGACGTCTAGCGTTTTGTGAGTGCAGTGCTCGGTTTGGTTGATATGACACAAACGTGTCTTGAAGATAAGAAGGAGCCAGGCCATTTATGGCTTTGTGTGTTAAAAGAAGGATTTTAAACTTTATTCTGTACTCCACAGGGAGCCAGTGGAGTGATTTTAATAGGGCTGGGCAATAAAACGATAACAATATATATTGCGATAGACACGTGTTCGATATCATTAGAAAACGGGGTCGATAGAACTTTGATAGTTTCACTTCAGTCCGTTCAAAAAAAACAGGAACAAAACACAGGAAGTAAAGCCGAGTCAGAAGCGCACGGCCTTCTGTGGTATGTAGGCTTCTCGACCTATCACAGCCGACTACAAACTACAAACTACAAACTTTCTGGGAAAAGCAAAAAAACAACTGCACCATGCGTAGCGTCCATGGATCATGGATCTATTATAATAGCCATGGATCTAAAGATCGTGTTTCAGTGCCGTGTCAATAGTTATGCACGTCCGTGTGAGGGACAGCATGTGCAGCGCGGGAGAGGCAGTAGGTACAGAGACTCGATGCATTCGGCAAAAACAAGAGATTAACTTTTTCCGGAGCCTTCACGGTCACACAAGACACTCGAAAACAGCCAAAACAGGAGCTAAACCAGGATTAAACCAGGACCAAAGTGGGGGAGACTGCTTGTGAACATTTGGCTCCAGCCTCATTCCCCCGTGACTGTAAACAAGGCTGATAACATGTGTTAGCCGACACAACAAATGTATTTATTTACATTTTAAAAAATAATTAAAAAGAACATCAACATATATCGTTATTGACCGATATTAATTATTTATATTGTGATATAGTTTTCAGCCATATCGCCCAGCCCTAGATTTTAAAACCAGATGTGCTCCCTCCTTTGGTACCTGTTAAGATCCTTGCTGCTGTATTTTGTACAAGGTGGAAGCTCTTCAAAGAACTTTTAGGGTACGCTGCCAGGAAAGCGTTACAGTAGTCAAGCCTTGAGGTTAGTTTTTCTGCGTCACTTTGAGGAAGGATATTCCTGATTTTACATAAGCCTTGAAGGAGACTTCTTTATCGAAAATGACTCCAAGATTCCTCACATTGTTGCTGGGTACAATACTGACATTATCAAGAGTGATTATCTGGTCAGCAAAGGAGTCGCGCAGGCGCTTTTGACTGAGTAAGATCACTTCAGTTTTCTCCGGGTTAAGCAGTAGAAAGTTAAGAGTCATCCATGTTTTTTGGTCTTTTATAAGTTTGTTTCTTCAGAAGGGGTTTGAGTACCGCGGTTTTTAAAGCTTATGTACACGAAAAATCAAGAGGAATAGACATACAGTGGCTTGCAAAAGTACTGATACGTAAAGATCAGAGTAAGAAGTAATAGCAAAAGGATTCATGTGATGCTGAATGCTCACATCTTGCCCGGACACTTATTATACAACTTTGAATGAATGAAGAAGTAGAGATTTTGTTTATGACGGGCTTATGACCAGATGTAACAGTGGGTAGCGTGTCACCTTTACTTATGATCAGGGTTGTATGTAGTTACAATGTAATGATGAAAAGTGCTCCAGGATCAATTGTTTTGTATGTTTTCTTGTGTAAACAATTGATCCTAGCGACCTAGATGAGCGACAGTTGCCCACCAGGCTCCTCCATCTCCTCAAGTCTTCAGGTTCAGACTGGACTCACTTCAGGAACCTGGTGTGACTCTAGCTTTTTGTCTCAACGCATATGCTTTGCTGCTGACGACGTAACCTCACTGCCCCAATTCTGCAGCTTTGGCGCAGGAATTTTTACAGGCCGCTTGTCATATGACTGGACATCTATTAATTAAGCAAAAAATCTAATTTACTTCAAGCCCCAGGTTCTTCTTACTGTATTTCTACAAAATTGACTGTACATTCTACTTTTTGTTGCATTTTGTAATCAGTTCAGCTATTTTTTTTTCTGAGAAGGAACACACCATAGGAGGAGCACACAGCTCACAACGAGCACACACAAAGAGCACTCACCACACGAGGGGCACATACAGCCATACATATACATCTCTAAGCAACTCTCTCTTTTTCCCTTTCTCCTCTCCCCCTCGCCCCTCATCCTCTTTGCTCCTCCTATACTATACACATCCTCATCACTTCCTCTGCTCCTCTCTCATCCTTCCACTCCTTTGAACCCCCTTTGCGACTGCTGTGCTCCCTCAGGTGCAGAATGTGAGCCAGTCCTTGGAGGTGGTGGACCTGCGAACGTCCAGAGACCTACAGTATGTGAGGGACTCTGAGCCTCTGTTGCGGGGAGTGGACAGCAGGCTGCACTCTTATGTGGACAACCCCCGAGTGGTCAGCCCCAAGAGCCTGCAGGTACAGAGGGAGAGAGCCACGCTGTACCTATACAGTCATTTTATTATTTCTTACCTGACTTTCAAGACGGTTTCAAATAAGGCCGCATATCCCAGTAGCCTGTACTAGTGTGTTGGATTCAAAAATGGTGCAAAACGTAAAAAACAAAAAAATCCGCACAGCTTGTTCCAAGAGACACTTTGGAGCAACATTGTTGTGCACATTTTTCTGTTTTCTGTTTACCCCCTTTAAGGCAAAATATACAACAAAGTAAAACAGCATAAAACTGTTCTGACATGCGAGGATTGTAGACGCTAATTATTACACATTTAGAAACACATTGGCGTTGCATGATATTAAGAAGACATTTTTACAAAGAATATGGTCGGATTAGTATTATTTTCATTAGTTATATGAATTGGTTCAAAGGGTTAGGGCTAGGGTTCCTGACTTGCAAACCAGAAAAATGCCAAATGACAAGTGAAAAAGAGTAAGTCAGTAATCTTTATTTATATAGCGCCTTTCACAGACCAGAGTCACAAAGCGCTTTACAATTGTGGGGATTTGTGTCCCACTCCACACAGAGAGCGGGGTCACCAGTACAGGAGGAGCATGCCAGACCTATGTTTTAGTGGTAGAGGAAACCGGAGGACCCGGAGGAAACCTACGTAGACACAGGGAGAATATGCAAACTCCACTCAGAAAAACCCTGTTCCGACTGGGATTCAAACCTAGGACCTTCTTGCTGGGACGCAAGAGTGCTATCCACTCAGCCACCGTGCTGCCCAAAATTTGAAAAAGGGGACCGCCTTCAATTGGCCCATCAGCTCTCTGCCGATATGTTGAAATTATTACAAAAGCAAAAATTGTAAATTTATAAGACTCTTTCTGGGATTGTATTCTTTATGAAAAAAATAGTTAAGTAGTAATAGTTTGCCCCCCCTTGGACTGCCACCTTAACGTGGTGGGGGAGTTTGAGATCTCGGATGATCCTGGGAGCTATGCTGTCTGGGGCTTCATGCCCCTGGTAGGGTCTCCCATGGCAGACAGGTCTCAAGTGACGAGTCAGACGAAGCGCAGTCCGAAGCCAACCATGGACAGCACGACAATGAGAACCGTGACGTCGCCCGGCATGGCGCAGCCGGGGCCCCACCCTGGAGCCAGGCCTGGGGTCGGGGCTCGCAAGCGAGCGCCTGGTGGCCGGGCCTTAGCCCACGGGGCCCGGCCGGGCTCAGCCCGAAGGGATGACGTGGGCAGTCCCTCCTGTGGGCCCACCACCTGCAGAGGGGTCCGTGGTGGCGAGGTGCAGAGAGGACTGGGCAGCAGTCGAAGGCGGAGACCTCGACGACCCAGTCCACACACCCAACATCTGGCTCTTGGGACGTGGAACGTCACCTCACTGGGGGGGAAGGAGCCCGAGCTTGTGGGGGAGGTTGAGTGATACCGACTAGAGATAGTCGGCCTCAGCTTGGGCTCTGGAACCCAACTCCTTGAGAGGGGTTGGACGCTCCACTTTTCTGGTGTTTCCCGCGGGGAGAGGCGGCGAGCTGGGGTGGCCATACTCATTGCCCCCCATCTCAGCCGCCACGTATTGGAGTTCTCCCCGGTGAATGAGAGGGTCGCGTCCCTCCGCCTCCGGGTGGGGGACAAGTCTCTCACTGTTGTGACGGCCTACGGGCCTAACGGTAGTGCAGAGACCCGGCCTTCTTGGAGTCCTTGGGAGGGGTACTGGACAGTGCACCGCCCGGGGACTCCGTTATTCTCCTAGGGGACTTCAACGCCCATGTGGGAAATGCCAGTGACACTTGGAGAGGGGTGATCGGGAAGAACGGCCCCCCTGATCTGAACCCGAGCGGTGTTCAGTTGTTGGACTTCTGTGCCAGTCACGGCCTGTCCATCACGAACACCATGTTCGAGCACAAGGGTGTCCATCAGTGCACGTGGCACCAGGACACCCTAGGCCGGAGGTCGATGATCGACTTTGTAGTCGTATCATCTGACCTTCGACCGTGTGTCTCGGACACTCGGGTGAAGAGAGGGGCGGAGCTGTCAACCGATCATCACCTGGTCGTGAGTTGGATCCGCTGGCAGGGCAGGAGGCCGGTCAGACCTGGCAGGCCCAAGCGTGTAGTGAGGGTTTGCTGGGAACGTCTTGCTGAGCCCCCTGTCAGACGGACTTTCAACTCACACCTCCGGGAGAGCTTCTCCCAGGTCCCGGCAGAGGAGGGGGATATCGAGTCCGAGTGGACCATGTTCTCTTCCTCTATCGCCAATGCGGCGGCTCGTAGCTGTGGTCGCAAGGTCTCTGGTGCTGGTCCCGGCGGCAATCCCCGAACCCGGTGGTGGACACGGCAGTAAGGGATGCCGTCAGGCTGAAGAAGGAGTCCTATCGAGCAAAGATGGTTCGTGGGACTCCTGAGGCAGCTGTCCAGTACCGGCAGGCCAAACGTGCCGCGGCCCGGGCTGTTGCAGAGGCAAAAACCCGGGACTGGGAGGAGTTCGGAGAGTCCATGGAGCATGACTATCGGCCGGCCTCGAAGAGGTTCTGGCAAACCGTCCGGCGCCTCAGGAGGGGGAAGCAGTTCTTTGCCAACACCGTGTATGGTGCGGGTGGAGGGCTGCTGACCTCGACTGGGGATATTGTCGGGCGGTGGAAGGAATACTTCGAGGTTCTCTTCAATCCCCCCGTCACGTCCTCCGTCCAGGAGGCAGAGGCTGAGGATGTTGGGGCGGATACTTCCATCTCCCTGGCCGAGGTCACCAAGGTGGTTGGCAGCCTCCATGGTGGCAATGCGCCGGGAGTGGATGAGATCCGTCCTGACTATATAAAGTCTCTGGATGTTGTAGGACTGTCTTGGCTGACACGTCTCTGCAACATTGCGTGGCGATCGGTAAGGTCTACTCCAAGGTACTGGAGAGGAGGCTACGTCCGATGGTCGAATCTCGGATTCAGGAGGAGCAGTGTGGTTTTCGTCCCGGTCGCGGAACACTGGACCAGCTCTATACTCTCCATCGGATACTCGAGGGTTCATGGGAGTTCGCCCAACCTGTCCACATGTGCTTTGTGGATTTGGAGAAGGCGTTCGACCGTGTTCCCCGGGGTGTCCTTTGGGGGGTCCTCCGGGAGTACGGGGTCCGGGGTCCTCTGCTGAGGGCTGTTCGGTCCCTGTATGACCGGAGCCAGAGCTGTGTCCGCATTGCCGGCAGTAAGTCAGACCTGTTCCCGGTGCATGTTGGCCTCCGCCAAGGCTGCCCTTTGTCACCGGTTCTGTTCACTGTATTTATGGACAGAATCTCTAGGCGCAGCCAGGGGCCGGAGGGGGTCCGGTTCGGGAACCACAGGATTTCATCTCTACTTTTTGCGGATGATGTCGTCCTGCTGGCTCCAACGAACCAGGACCTGCAACATGCACTGGGACGGTTTGAAGCCGAGTGTGAAGCGGCTGGGATGAGAATCAGCACCTCCAAATCCGAGGCCATGGTGCTCGACCGGAAAAAGGTGCCTTGCTCTCTTCAGGTGGGTGGAGAGGTCCTTCCTCAAGTGGAGGAGTTCAAGTATCTCGGGGTCTTGTTCACGAGTGAGGGGAGGATGGAGCGTGAGATTGACAGGCGGATCGGTGCAGCGTGCGCAGTGATGCGGTCTCTGTATCGGACCGTTGTGGTAAAGAGGGAGCTGAGCCGAAAGGCAAAGCTCTCAATTTACCGGTCAATCTTCGTTCCCTCCCTCACCTATGGTCATGAGCTGTGGGTAATGACCGAAAGAACGAGATCGCGGATACAAGCGGTCGAAATGAGCTTCCTCCGCAGAGTGGCTGGGCGCTCCCTTAGAGATAGGGTGAGGAGCTCAGTCACACGGGAGGAGCTCGGAGTAGAGCCGCTGCTTCTCCACGTCGAGAGGCACCAGTTGAGGTGGCTCGGGCATCTGTTCAGGATGCCTCCTGGACGCCTTCCTGGGGAGGTGTTCCGGGCACGTCCCACCGGGAGGAGGCCCCGGGGAAGACCCAGGACACGCTGGAGAGACTATGTCTCTCAGCTGGCCTGGGAACGCCTTGGGGTCCCCCCGGACGAGCTGGAGGAGGTGTGTGTGGATAGGGAAGTCTGGGCGTCTCTGCTTAGACTGCTGCCCCTGCGACCCGGCAACGGATAAAGCGGAAGAAAATGGATGGATGGATGGATGGATAGTTAAGTACCTGAGCTGTAATTGTACTTCTAATCATTATTGACAAATATCAGCTACTTCTTGCAAAAACACATTCCTCTGTAGCTTGTGTCCTGCTGCTTCTTTTTCAAACTTCTATAGCAAAGACAAATTCTCAGGGACAAAGAACAAATATAAGGAGAGTGCTGACTTGTTCAGTAAACTTGCTCCGGGCAGAATGGATGATGACAATAACGTTTTATTCCACAATTCAATCAAAAAATTGTGCCTGAAGCACCCTCAGTTTAAGACGCAGCTCCTCTCCAATTGTGGGAATCCTGCAGTCAGTCAATGAGAAGAAACTTCGACTCAGAAAAGTCAAATTTTGGATTTATAAAATCATTCCCCCCTGGACTGCCACCTTGACATAGTGGGGGAGTTTGAGTACTCGGATGATCCCGGGAGCTTCGTTGTCTGGGGCTTCATGTCCCTGGTAGGGTCTCCCATGGCAAACAGGTCTCCGGTGACGAGTCAGACGAAGCGCAGTCCAAAACCCACCATGGTTAGCACGTTATTTAGAACTTTGACGTCGCACGGCATAGCGCAGCCGGGGCCCTACCCTGGAGCCAGGCCTGGGGTTGGGGCTCGAAAGCGAGCGCCTGGTGGCCGGTAGCCTACGGGGCCCGGCCGGGCTCAGCCCGAAGGGATGACGTGGGCAGGGCCTCCTGTGGACCCACCACCCGCAGAGGGATCCTTGGTGGTCAGGTGCTGAGAGGACTGGGCGGCAGTCGAAGGCGGAGACCTCGACAACCCAGTTTGCACACACAACATCTGGCTCTTAGGACGTGGAACGTCACCTCACTGAGGAACTGGGGTTCCCCCC